AGGCCCCCCTACAGAGAGGCTGGGAAGACAGGGGCCTCCATGACACATTGCAAGTTCGCTAAACTGGCAAGGGCAGTCAGGCATCCTTTGCCCTTCTGCTTCCTGAGAGCCCATGTGCACGCCCCTCACCCCTCCGTCACAGGTCCCACTTGTAGTAATGAAGATCGGGGGTTCAGGGCAGTTATGTGGTGTGTGGGGTCTCTCCTCTGTGCAGACTGGATTCCACCCCTTCCTCCTCGCTTTCTCGAGTCTCTCTCCTTGCTGCCCCCTTTACAGACCAAAAGTCACCACAGGGGAAGACGCCTCCGCTCTGTTAGTCCCACCTGCTTTCCCGGACTCGCCTCCCCTCCAGCCTCATTTTCAGTCCATCCTCACCCCCTGCCCACCGCTCACACCCGCTGTCCCCCGGCACCTCCACATTGTGCCCCGGGCACGCTGCACCTGCCTGTTGTCTGTGACCAGCCCAAAGCTCCCAAGTCCTTCTCCTTCCCCTCACGCAGAGCCTCTGCCAGGAGTGCTGGGACCGCCCCTCCTGTGAAGCCTCCTGCACACTGTGTGTGTGTGAGAGTGTGCACGTGTGTATGTGACTGTGTGTGAGTGTGCACGTGTGTATGTGACTGTGTGTGTGAGTGTGCGTGTGTGTGTGAGTGTGTGTGTCCGTGTCCATAACAGATGCTCCACGATTGTTTCTCAGTTGACTCCCAGGCTGCAGACGGACCCTGACACTAACTCACTCCACCTCCACCCCTATTAGTGGCCACTCATTGTCCCCTTGGGTCCAAATCCCAGGCCTTTCAGGGGACCTGTCTGTGGCCATTGCACTCCGCCACCCCACTCCTAGGGGACTAGAGCCACGCAGCCTGGACTAGACTCATCCTCTTCACCAGCTGGCATCTCTGGCCACTACCTGCCACAGGGGTGGCTGCCCCGAGGGACTGGGCTGACAACCAGTGAGTCAGCATTAGACTAATTTTGGTGTGACAAAGGGAACAGTGACTGCGCCTCAGCCTCAGTCCAGGCTCCCCTCATTCCAGTCAACCTGCAGTAACAGCACGTGGCCACAAGGGGCGCTACTGGGCGTCTCGGGCCAGAGAAGGGGGCGGAGGGGGAGGGCGCCCGGCCGGGTCCCCC